TGTCTTCCCTTTCCCATTGGGAACCAACTTCCACCCTAGTGTCCTCACCTGACAAACACGATGGTGAAATAGGAGCACTAGTAAAACCAGTCTATCAGTGCGTACCGAGTTCAGTCTGAGTGAGAATAAAAGACCCTACATGGATAACAAGTTTTTGAATCCTTCGATACTTTCTTGACATGCCGTTTTAAGTCAGTCTTTTAACTAGCCCGATCGAACCATTCGCCCACAATCCATACACGCAGACGCGGAAACATCCCCAGTCCGTGAAAAGACTGTATTTTCTACAAGTCGCCGGCAACCTTCACATCACAATTCACTCCTGGCTCAAGATAGATATGCTGAAGCTGTTGGGCCGCCTCGTCTGTTGAAAGCAGATCAATGACACGTTTGTGTATGCGCATTTGGAATCTGTCCCACGTTTTGGATCCTTCGCCGCAAGGGGTCTTTCGTGTCGTAATCCTCAAAACCTAACATCATGAAGAATTGAAATTCCAAAATACCTTTGTTGGCATCCGTACTGGGCCTTTTACACGCAGGTTCTGATCTTTTGCACGCTTTATCAGGTCAGTTGACACTGTTTCTAGTGACTTGATATTGGCCGACGTTAGGGTTACTCGCACCCAGTTTCTTGACGAGGGTTGCGCCAACTCGGGCTTCTTCTCCGCCATGCTGCCAATTCAAAACACAACTGGATAGCGCCCTTTGATTTGACCTTCGCCTTATACGCATTTTTAGTTCAGCAACCATTAGCTGATACATGGGGTCGATGGTTCTGCCCGAATTTCCCGGCTCTTTAAGGTCTAGGAACGTCGTTGTTCTCCCATGAGCTGCACAGCTCGTCGAAAAATAAGGAAAAAAATAATTAGACCTGTGTCGTTGACACAAGCTGAATAGTTTTTAAGGGTAGGTTTTTACACGCACACAAAATCGATAATTTCACCGATTGTCGTCTAATACTATTTCACGCTCTAACTTAGAAAGGTTATCGCTTGGCCCCGAAATACATTGCCACGTCCAACTTGGCGCGGCCAAATCTGATTCAAAGTATCGGTAAGTACTTATAATACATGTCTCCCGTTCCTTCTGCAGAGCCTAGTGCAGGATTTCAAGGAGTCACGGATTGATACACAGGATCGAGGCTTTTGCTTAAGTTTCCCGGGTTGTTTTTGTTCTTGTCTGTCAGTGGCTGTCGTTCACCTGAAATGCACAAGTGAAAAAAGGGTGTAGCACCTCTCCTTATGTTCTCAGCGCGGGGCAGTATGCTCGCCAGCTCGAGCATTCGGATAAATTATTGTCCAATGGTGCTTTAAACTGGGCTCCAGAGGCCGTGTGGACAACCGTCGGAGGAAGGTCATTCCATGCACCTACTCCCCGAAATGAGAAAAAATTTCGTTTGATGAATGTGTGTGCTCTGGGCCCTAAAATTTTCTTACTATGTCCCCGCCGTGTGTTTGCTGGGTCAACGGTAAAAAACCTGTTTGCCAAGCTCTGTTCAAACAGGGCATAGGTAAGAATTAGGTCCCCTCAGAGGCGACGG